TTTTGTATCATGCATGCATAACTTCATCTTTTTAAATTTATTTGTCTTTAATTTTAAATAAAAAATAATAATTTTTAATGAATATATTGTATAATGTATTATATAATGTATTAAACTAGAATATGCACCAATCAATATTTTAAAATATTATTTTTTTTAACATCAGAAACTCAAACTTAACAATATTTGCAATAGTTTGAACTCCTTATTTTTTTTGAACGGCAAAAAATAATATTTATTATTAAAAAAAAAACGGAGTACAAGGGGTACCTCAAATCCATTAACATCCCAATTTGAAAGGCATAAATTTACATGAGTCAATTAGCCTTTCTGTGTGGTGTCGACACCACGTCCGTGTCGGAATCTTGATGCCTGCAGTATGGTGTCGACACCACACCCGTGTCGGGTTTTTGTCCTTTTTTTGCAATTTCTCCATTTCTCACTGTTCTGACCAAACCCAATGAATTCTGGGTGCTTACTGTATAGTGTCGACACCAAATTTATGTGTCGACACCACACCCGTGACGAGATTCTGTCCTCTTTTGCAATTTCTCCATTCTGTCATTTTCCCTTATTATTTTCTCCATCATCACTATATTCATCGGTCCTTTCTGCTTCCTCATCTTCTTCATCCTCATCTAATCATCTCAAATTTCTTTCTAAGTGCTTTAAGAAATAATTTTACACATCAGTACCTCGTTTTGTCTGTCCTGCTCGCTCTTTTCCTTTTCCTTCCATTGTTAACTGTAAGACATGCAGTTGGATTATTAAGCCAATCAGAAATGGTAAATGTGCATCTTGCCTTTCTTGCTTTAATCCATAAGAAAGCTCTCAATTGTATGAGTTCCAGTATCTTTTCTTTTTTCTGCTCTGATTGTTGAAAAATCTTCTGATTTCTTGCTAACCACACCGACCAGACCAGAGCATTCCAGATGCAGTCCCAGCCTTCTCTAATGCGTGAATCTTTGTTCCCTTCCCCGAGCTTCTTGAATGTATCCCAACAATTACTCTCTAGCCTTACATTGATTCCCCACCACGCTGCACATGCCTTCCACAGCCACTTGACCAACCTACATTTTAAAAATAGGTGATCCGAATCTTCCCCCTCTGCTTCGCACATGATGCACTTGCTGTCTTCCCATCCTTTGGCGCATCCTCTTTTCAGTAGATTGAGTTTGGTTGGGATTCTATTCAATAAAACTTGCCAATTAAATGCTGCTATTTTATTTGGAAGAATTGGATTCCACACCCTCTTAAAAGTTGAAGCTCCATTTAATCCATCGTGATCTTTTATCAGCATTGAGTAAGCTGATTTGGTTGAGTACTTGCCATCATTGTTGTGTGTCCACAGCCACTTGTTTGAACTCCTTATTTAACTCTAAATTAAGGTTTT